TGAGTGGCACAGCGAGTCAGGTCAACTCCGTCCTACGTTGTGAGGGTCGTCGCTTTGCTCGTACATCCGCTGGTCTATAGAGGTTATCAGTGACACTGAGAAATAAATAATGTGTGTGGTAATCTAGTCTCGGCAAAGGGGCAAAGGACTCTAGTTTAAAGTTGATACGATCAGGAGAAAATATGAGATCTTGGATGAAAAGTAGGTTTCTGCGGAGACCTCGGTTCTTACAGTGAGGAGGGAAAGAGCCACCGCTCCACACAGAACAGGAGCTGGGACAGACGCACGTGCGGACATACTCATCCGTGCTTTCACACATCGAGCCATTGTCCTTTTCAGCCTTGTGCAGAATTTCTGGAGGTCACTCTGAAATAGCATCTGTTGTTCCTGGTCACATGAGCGAGGGAGGCCCGGCTTGCCTCACTTTGAAGAATTTGCAGTGGGAGGATCGGCAGGGGACGTCTCTGTGAGCAGGGATGCGGGCTACTGCAAGAGTCAGCTGGACTACAGACAGGGCAGGGTCATCAGATCCTGATCATGGCTCTACTACTGAGCTGTCTGTCTCCATGTCTGTCTCTTATGTGGAACACATATCTCGCTAACCCTCCCTCTACAGCTTTACACTTGGTCTGTGTATTCTTAAAGGGATAGTTCACCGAAAAACGACAATTCAGTCATTATCCACTCCCCTCTATGCTATGGTGGGTGGGTGAAGCGTTTGAGTTTACAGAACACTTTAGGAGTCTCAGAGGTAAACAGTATTGAAAACATACTAAAAACACACATCTTGTTTTACAGTCCATTCAAATATCGCACAGCAACTCAGTGATGAGCAGTTCAGGTGACTAGTGATTCAAGGGCATGGATGACCACAGAGGGACAAGACGCAGAATTGTGTGAATTAGTGGAGACGGATGTTCAGGAACGTTAGTGTACGTCAAATCTAAAAGTAATATGTGCCACAAAAGTGAAACGTTTTTTGGAGCCCCCCCCCCTGAACTTCTCATGGAAGGCTTTCAGAGGAGCTTGTGTCCTTTTCAGGGCTCCTCTTAGCTCCCCTGTAATTGAAACCCTGGTGGTAGCATTATTAGCATTCAAGAGGGTTCCTGCACCAAACTCTAATTCTAAGACCTTCATTTTGTGCTGTATATTAAAAATGAATGTGTTCAACCTCGGTCCAGGTTGTACTGCAGTAATAGAAACACCACACAGTCTGCACAGATGTGATCAACAAGGAGTTAACGGGGCCCCGGCAAATCTGTGAGTGTTCCTTCTTGCCTGAAACAGGATTTTCGGCTTCAGTGAACGACAAAGATGGTGCTGAGCAGTGAGCTCAAAACTCAGGTTTCAAAATAAAAGTCCCTGTGGAAATGTGTGGCTGATGTCGCAGATGTTACGATTTCTTCGCAGGCTTTAATTGAACCAAAAACAGAAAATTGACACGTGAACAGGCAACACAAGAACTAATATCTGATTCTTCTTAGACTGAATGAAGCTGGGAAGATACTTTCACTGAGCACCACAGTCACTGCTTCATATCACTTACATAGAGTCACTAAGGTTTATCTTGTAGTAGGATTGTTCCGTGTGACCCACATGGCCCTTGATCCTGACAAACGTCATCCCTGACTGACAAAAACATGACACATGCTTTAGTCCACCCGCTGCTGCTGCTGTACGATAGGAAGCTGTGACTAGCTGTCCGTGCGTCCTGATTGGTCAGATTGCCTATCCAGGTCAGGAGGCTGACCTTGGACCCCCTTGAGTGTGCCACATACACTGGCACACACACACCACTTCTCTTCCTTATTGAAAATAACAAGTGACCGCAGGTGGTTGCATTAAATAACTGAGCTCACATGCAGCAGCTCACCACTCATTATATAATCTTGGCCAGTGTGTTAAACCCTACATTCTCATTGCTGCTGATCTTCCTGGTAAAATGCAATGCAACAAAACAAAAATGAATACAGTACAATATCAGCATATATAAAATCAAATGTATGTTTGTAGTTATTAATAAGGCTCAATCAGAATGCAGCAAACATGGCACAGTGTTAACACAACACAAACTGAAAACTGTTTTTTTCCAGTCAGGAGACAATTAAAGATGATCACAGGAGAATGAGTGATTCGAATAAATTGAATTGTTGTAAGGGGAATAGACAGGAATTCAAACACCATGGGAATGAATCAGGTGCATCAGAGCTGAGGACTTCCCGAGACGTCTCATGGAAGGCTTCCTGGTCCAATGACAACAGAAATGTCCTGAATGAGTCGAACATTTAAATGTTACCAAACGGTTGAAGCATGCAGGAGTTGTTGCTGCATCCGCATTCACATTAGATATTAGTTTGATGCACGAGTGAAATAAATCCCAGATATGTAAGTGAATTCATCAAGGAGATTATATTTTCTGTGTCTGTCTGTCTTTCAGCAGGATCACTCAAAAACTAATTTCTATAAAATGTTGTGGAGAGGTGGAGCATGACTCAAGAAAGAAGACATTTTAGAACATATCTTGAAAGAAGACTGTGAAATATTGGTGTGTTGTGGTTTTTTAAATTTTAATTTAATGTAATTCTATTATTTATTCAGTCTGTGACCTGAATGTTCTCAGTGTTTCTTCCCCTAAATTATATTGGACTTTGTTTGGGCCTTTTCTTTCTTTCTATGGCTCAGAGAACTGTCCCAGAATTCCAAGGTGCTTGTATCCTTTTTCTGTGCGAATGGCAAATACAGCCCCTGGGAACTGGAACTTGATTGTAGCTGCAACTCACTTTGCAAGGATAAACAGTCTGTTTCCTCATCGCTGACAAACATGAGGATTGTTTATATAGATAAATACATGAGGATTTGATGATGCTTGCGTGTCATAGATAAAAAAAAGTGCAGGGTTAACTGATGGCTGGATGACGGAGAGAGTAGGCCACAAAGGAGGGGGGCTGTGTGTTATATAACAGCCTGCTAGGCCCGCCTTCTTTCACCGGCCAATCTAATCCTCCCCACTCATCACACGCGAGGACCTCTCACGTAATCAGGCACACAAAGGCCCTCAGCATGGCTGAGCGGGCGCCTTTAAGGGAACAGCATCCCCCTCACCCCATTGGATGACGAGGGAAGCCCAACAGCAGCGTCCTATTGGGTGCCAGCCTGTATCGCCACAGCCGGCGTCATCACCCTGTGTGACATGCGTGCAGCATCAGCAGGGGGATGCAGGGAACAACATGTTCCCATGCGTGGTCTCAACACTGGCTGTCGTTTCAGTGCAGTTGTCTCTCACAGTGGAGGAAAATGAACACAGGTGCAATAGTTTGCTTCTAATGTGTGAAAATGAAATATTTAGAGGAAATTCTTGAACCTTTGTGGAGTCTGAGGGAGGGAGGGACTAAAAGGTCAAATCCTGTGTCTGGGTTCCTCTTTTTCTCTCTGATCCAGTGGATGAACCCATTAAAATACTGAACCTTGTCTGACCTGAAGCCTCAGAGGCGACAGAGCGTGTTTGATTACGACGAGGCAAAAGGAAATTCCTTTACACTTGTGCAGGAAGAGCTGTGGCTAAAGAGGATGACATGATAAATGATAGATGCTTTGTATTTATATAGAGCTTCTCTAGTCTTGATGACTACTCAAAGTGCTTTACAGTACAGTTTTACAGTCCCCCACACACACAGCGCATTTATGTGGCAATTTGGGATCAGTATCTTGCCCAAGGACACTTTGAAATGCGGAATGAGGAAGATTTGGATCGAACCGACATCATTTTGCTCTGTGCAGCTCATCCTCTTAGAATAATGCTAATAAAACAAGATCCGTTTGGGAAACCGTGCCATTGTGTTTTCTTGCTTTTCAATTGGTTTTCACTCCATCCACAGGAATAGAAACTGGACGTAACCGTTACATGTCTCTGCCCGTGTAGTTGTTACACGTACTTACACTCGTGTTACACGTGGTCACGTTGTGTCCCTGACTGCCCCCAGAGCTGGTTTCACTGATTTGATCACAATCTGTCCTCAATGCGTAAACCTGTACTTTAATCTGTCTGATTGTAATCTGATTACTGAGACAAATTGTAATGCATGTGTAAATAGGGTAATACAAAATGTCCAATGTTTTACCTTGCATGTAAAGTTGATCAAATACTGCAGCTATATAACTGGTATATATTTAGTAATAATACTTCTCAGGTGGAGATACAGTATATGGAGAAATGAGCAAAGCAGAACTGCAGTTCTACTTCAGTATTAGTATCATTATGTGAGAAATAACGACACAGAAATGTAGAATAAAGTGATTGTGCTCTAAGATATTTGTTACAGACCCTGCTGGCACAAATGAACAGCAGGCCTATTGTTACTATTGTATCATCTGTCCTATAAACTCAGAGACACCTTTAATTACTCCTGTGTCAGCTCTTGCTGGAATTCTGAAGAGATGCCTGCAGTTTGGAAATTTAAAAATGACCCCTCCTCTGTGCACGAGGATGTGATGCTCTCAGGTGAAGACTAAATGTGTGACACTTATCTGTGTCTGCAGAAAAGAAAAAAGCATGAGGGGAATAAGCTGTTGACTGAACCCACTGTTTTGTCTGAATAACATTTAACAATTTATATATATATATGTTATATATAAAAACATATATATAATAACAGCTATAAGGACACAGAGAGAGAGAGATAAACCTAAATGCTTGTTTTAAATGCATTACCATAGATCACAGTGTTCCATATGAGCATCACGCACAGCCTGGCACCTTGCGCGCGCCCCCCGCCCCCTCACATGTGAGCCTCGGTACAGTGGAACTCCATCCTCCTCCTCCTCCTCCTCTTCCTCACTGCAGCGCGTTCTTCTCCTCACTCTCGGAATTACTAACATCCAACTTAAGGATCCAAATAGAAAATGTAAGTAATCCCGCATGTTTCCTCGCACAGTGGAGTTTTGTGTGTGCGGGGGTCGGGAGGTGGGGGGTGGGGGGGTGCTGCCGCCACAGTGATGCGTGCTCAGCGCCTCTGCAGCAATGGATGCACCGAGATGACGGAATCGGAGTTAAACTGTGAGTCATTAGACTGCTGCAAACTAAAGGGGCAATCCTGAACTGATGTTTCTGGTTGTTCTGCAGCTATCAGGCCGTTTTAAGATTTCTGTGCAGGGAAGTGAGAAATGTGCATTATTGCTGTCTGTTACATTTTGTTCCAACTGTGCAAAGTGCAGCTGCTGCAGCTCATCGACCTGAGCTGTGATGTATTTGAACACAATCGTCTCCAGACTCTGGTTTTACATTTATACTTTTTTTTACAAATCTCCAAATCTGCGTTTTTTGGACCATCTTGAGCTGTTCCCGTTGTGCACTTGTCGTTGAGGGCGGGTTGTGTAATTGCAGCCTCAGTCTGTCACAGACAATGGAGCGTCCCAGTGAGCTGATGGTGAACTTGAGCTCCTCTGAGTAGAATTATTTCATTTTTATGGAGATGTTTGAACCTTTTGTCTCAGCATCACCCCAACACCAGGGCTCCTGCAGAGCTGCAGGTCGTTACATAACATCACTTCCACTAAAATCACAGAAAAAGAGAAGAGCTCATGGACCTCAAATGATTAAATCACAAACAGGTTGTGTTGATGGGGCTCCTGAACTTATTTCTTCGGCCGCTGAGCCGATTATGTAACAGCAAATAGAATTCAGGAGGCTAAAGTGAGGCATTGTGCTTCTCAGCAGCCCCATTGTTTCCCTGAACAAGTGTCAGTCAGCTGCAGCCACGAGGTGTTTCTCTCTTCATGGACACAAAGCAGCTCCCTGGACCACCTACTCACAAGTTTCCATTAAAACCCTGATATGAGCTGATATCCTAACTTGTCTGCAGACTTTGTGTTGCAACACAGAGCTTTGTTCTTTGTTAATATACTGATTGCAAAGTGGGTCCCAAACCGGGGAACTGGGGCCTTCAGGGATCTGGGACACGCAGGATTATTAAATAGTTGTGGACGCTCTGGTTTCAAATATTATTTATTTGATCAGCCCCTCCCTATTTCCTGCCTTTCAAAGTGTCCATTTGACCTTGATATGATGTCAATGAAGCAAAATCAGTTCATATTTTTTTTGCTGGAATAATCCTTTCTCCCTGTACTTTAATTATTAAATATCAACCTAACAAGTAATTCATTCTTTCGATATCTTGTCAGTCACACAACACCAACATATAATTCATTAGGCAAGTTGAAATGTGTTGTCCATTGTGGCCTCAAACTTAAAACTGAGGTCGTGCTTGTTCTTATGTTACATTTAAAACCATTTAAATAACAACTTGAGACAATTGTAAAACTAATGATGTGGATGCATGAATATTCATAACACATCACAAGTTTCCGTGGAAGGACCATTTCTGTGTAATTAGTTTATATACATAAAATAACATACATATTTTTGCATTCTCTTATTTTTCTTATTCTGTATTCATCTTATAATTTCCCTATAAGCTTTGACTCTTGTCGGTCAACTCTCCTCTCATCACGCGATCAGACTGTGATGTAACTCTGCTCCGCTGCTGCACAGAACACACTCAGCTTATAACTGTGGAGCTGACACGCAAAATTAATCTTTTAAATTTTTTTAAATGAAAGCAACCTTTTGTCAGTGTTTGCAGATGGTCCTGGAATGAAATACAAATTTGAACATAATGGCCCAAATTATAATGTTTGTCATTATTATTTAAATGTTTAAAACTTTTCTGACACTTAAATAATTGAATTATTGTTATCATCATTGTTATTGTGTTGTAATAACCATTTTATATCCATCCATCTATTTACACTGCTTATTCTTTGAGTTTCCACCTGACATGAATGAAAGGTGTGGTTCAACATGGACATGTGGCCCGGTCCATCACAGGCAATGATTATATTACTTCTTACATTATTATTTTTATGGCTGCTTGAGTTAATGCTCTGGAGCTACTTCAGAATTATTCCTTGTCATAAGTGAGTCCTAACTCAGTCACTTTTTCTTGTTTGTGTGCTGGACGCTGTGTGAAGGGTTTTTTATAAACAATCTATGGTGCAAAGTGAAGTTAAAAAAGTTTGTGATCATCCTACTTGGTTTATCTACAATGGAGATTTGATAATCAACAGAATGAGATGAATCCTCAGACCCAAGCTCCCAATGAAAGCGTTGTAATTCACCTTGGTATAAAGTACTGCAACAACAAAATGAACATTGTGCCTTTTGTTTGAAGACAACGTTCTGAAGATGAAATGATTCTAGGAATGTTGATGCCGGGAAGGTGATCAAAAACCTGTTAACGTCTGAGTCAGTCTGATATGGTGAAATATGAATAAACTTACTATAGCAAAATAATCTTGCGTCTACATTTCTGATAAGAGGAAGGGTTTGCAAGATATGCATTACAGATAAAGACAGACAGGAATGACTAGGTAGATGATTCTTTATCTCTCTCTCCCTCTCTCTCTCTCTCAGCCCCAAACACACACACTCACTCACCCACAGGCATGTGTGTAACATTTTAGTATATGCAATGACCCCATGCACCACTTACACAAATGCAGATGAGCAAGAAGACAGTGACAGTAATTACAATGAAAATTTTGTATTAGTGGTAGGTGCTGTATTACAGAAAGAACCTTATTCAGGTCCCGGTATTTCTACTTGTGTCGTCATGCAAACGTCCGATGCGCGTGAAGAACTCCATATTCCTTTAATAAGAATCCGACTCTGTGGCATCCATCAAGTGTCAGGGGATGACAGCATCAGTCAGTGTCACACGGGAACTACTGCTGTGGCCATGACAACGTGCTCAAATGCATCATGTACGTATGATGATGCTGTTTCTGAGAGGGGGACAAAATGATGATCGTAACACTGTTGAGACACGAGTGTTTGAACGGACACTGGTTTGAAGCGTGTCAGTGTGTTGTTGGTTTGTCTCTGCACTTGGAGCCCATCCATGCTTCCTTCTGTAAATGTGTGTAACCATGGTGATGCCATAACTGGCTTTTCTTTTTACAAACCAATTGTGTTGTTGGTTGTGGACTTTGTTATTTACACACAGAATAAAGCATTCAGGCTGACACTGCCTGTCCTCAGGATTGGCAAAACATCCGAAAACCTCTCTTGATCAGAAAATGCTTAGCCGATAATGAAAATGATCATCGCAGCTACTGCTCGCTGCTTTTATTTTTCTGCATAAATAAAAGCATGCTGTCAACTGTTTGTTAGAGCCTGTGAAACTGAGTGCTGCTCCTCGGGTTCTCAATGTGCTGAAATGAATCTGCGGCAGTTTTGAAAGTTGATTCATTGAGCTTCTCACATCTTCTTCATTGTGAGGATTTGCTGCTTTTCTCACAACTGAGAATCTCTGGATTTGAAGACATCACACTTGGATTGGAGACTTTGTAGAATTGCTCTACATATTCATCGGTAATGGCAGCAAATGATTAATTGCAGGACTTTTGTAATTCGACTGCATTGTATGTAGTCTGTATGTGAGAATTTGACCGTCAGCCCTGAGAGATGGAGCTGTGTCTCTGCGACAACTGATGCACAGTCCCCTTGCTGCTTATTGCATGAAGAAGATCGTGTCTGATCCAACTGTGCTGACATGTCCCCTCTGTGTCTCTCCCTGCAGCTGCAACCATGTCCTCAGTTCTGCAGAAGCTCATCAGCCCGATGGCCAGCAGCCCCGCTGAGCCTCCCAGGAACAAGGTGACGGTGGTCGGGGTGGGCCAAGTGGGCATGGCCTGTGCCGTCAGCATCCTGCTGCGGGTAAGATACCTCACAAGACACACTCCCTCTCTGAGTGCTGCGACACGAGCGTCACTGTTCACTGGCTGTTATGCTCAAGATGCTACTTACGCCCCACGTTTTGGCTTTATCCTAAGATTGTCCCCTTCTGCAGGATATTTCTAAATGGTAATCTAAACTTTATGATCTACAGAATTTGCATTTTATGTTTTGTATTGGTCTGCATGATGAAACTAAAAAACATTCACATTTCAGACACACACACATTTTGAATATGTGAATGTATATGAATTTGAATGAATTAACTTCTCTAGTTTTATTTCTAAGTATGTTATATATGAAAACTTCATGTTTGAAAATGACAAAGAAAGAAAACTGATCTATAACATCATCCGTCTTATTTCTGTTTGTCCAGGACCTGTGTGATGAGCTGGCTCTGGTGGATGTGATGGAGGATCGTCTGAAAGGAGAGATGATGGACCTGCAGCACGGCAGCCTCTTCCTCAAGACCTCCAAGATAGTCGCGGACAAAGGTCAGGAGCTGAGGCCCACATGCTGCTGCAGGCGGTTAAAGTTAATGCATCAGTTGGGACATGAAATCAGTTGATAACTGACCACATCCCTGTTAGACGCTGTCTGTCAGTGCTGAGCAGTGAGTGCTTCCTATCTGAGGCCATGGGTGATTACAGTTTCAGGGCAAGTGGTCCCTGTGGGAATGTAACCTCCTAATGTGCATGAAGGCCCATTACCCTGTCGTGTTATTGATTCATATATAAATACCTTGCATTAAAGAGCGATGGTAATAAAGTGTACAATTCTTCCTTGTCTCCCTCCTCCTCCCCCAGACTATGCCGTGACAGCCAACTCCCGCCTGGTTGTGGTGACAGCCGGCGTTCGCCAGCAGGAGGGAGAGAGCCGCCTCAACCTGGTGCAGAGAAACGTCAACGTCTTCAAGTCCATCATCCCCCAGATCGTCAAGTACAGCCCCAACTGCACACTCATCGTGGTGTCAAACCCTGGTAAAAACACCAACACACACACACACACACACACA